TTGCGATGGAATTAAATCATCCGTGAATTCTTAACCCTATCTATCCGTGACTGTACTTAAGTGATTTAGACCACGGATTTTTGTATCTAAGTGACAATTTCACTTTCAATTACAGTGGTTTTTGTATGCTAATCCAAGGCTATCTAAATCAGCAGTTAACAAACCCGTCATCTCCTTCGTATCCAGTTTGTTTTGGACTGTTATGTGAACTATGCACGTAGTGCGGTGATGCTAAGTCGACAGTTAACATGACAATTGGGCATTAGCTGTAAAAACTTCAACTGTGATAGAAAGCATTTGTAGCTCAGGTGGATGATTTTGATGTGATTGTGTTATCTGAGCTGGATGGTTGGTTTGCAAAGCTTTCATCACCCTACTAGGTAACATCTTCAGCGCACACTTCATTTTGAAGTAGGTTGATGAAAGCTTCGCAAATCAACCATCCAGATCAGAGAACACAACCACATCAAAAAAGACCAGCATAATTATGACTTGATTAGCAGCTAGGCATTGTAGCTCAGCTGGGAGGTTGCCAGGCTGGCAGTACACAGGTCACTGGCTTGAATCTTATTGAGATTGAGACTTTTACTTTACTTTCGTCACACTATTTTACATAACTTTTACCATCAATTTGACAATATTATCTAGTAGTTATCTAGTAGAAACCTTATACGCGAGAAAAAGTCGGACTGTGTATACAGAAATGATTTGTTTAATTCCTTTTTCTGCCATATATTTCTTCTTTCTTTTCCAACTATTAACTTTAAAATATACTTTAAACATACTGTGAATTTCCTTTGTGCGTCAGTGGCATAGCGGTTAGGACGCTCACCGACCATGCACATGGTCCGGGGTTCGATCCCTGGCTGACACACTCCTTTACCTAGCTAAGCCAGTAACAAGGCTGGTAAAGAGGAAAGGTTGGGCATGAGGCTACCAACCCCATCCTGTAAAAGTAAACACCACTGCTTCAGAAACTCCAAGCCTCTAGCTTGAAGCCCTATGTTCCACTGGGAACGTGAAGGAATGGAAAAAAAATGAATGAATCTCCTCACTTTCGTGAACAACACTCTTCTCTTCAAATGCCTACAGCTTTGATCATCATTCCTGAGAGACATTCATCACATAATATTTCTAAATTACGTCAGATTACTGAAATGAGTTTCGGAGTTCATTCGTTTTTTTTACTTCTAGTATGCAGCTACGTATATTTTGTTATGAATCGACATTAATAACTGACTTTTATGAGCATTCGCATGACCTTTACCAACCTTACATAGTTGCACAGCTTGGTAGAGAGGTCACGAAAAAAGTATTCTTTGTTGACTTATATCTTTTAAATCTATGAATAATTTGGAAATAATTTTCATCACAGACCAGTTTGAAACGGAGGCGAAAATTTGACAACACAAGTAAGTGGATGATTTCTGGTGTTGTTTATTCCTGTCTCTAAAGCGGTTAGTTCAGATGGGAGGCTTCCAATGTCTTTCTAGACAGCATATTTAGTTAGCACTTACCTCAAGGTGACTTCATCGTGATGGTGTGGTAGTTATACCATCTAGTTTGAAGAACTTAGTTATACCAATAAAAGAGAAATACTTTCAGCTAATTAATAAAAAATTAACTGTCTTCATATTGAAGCACGCGCCGAATTTGTTGCCTACAAAGACAGTGAAAGCTTTGCAATTAAACCCCATAGCTTAGAGAATACAACCTCATCAACATAACTAAATCATCTTTTAAACTGATTTGTATCCATCATCTGTCAATTAGAACATTTCATTATAGTTTTTTTTCCTTCACGTTCCCCAGTGGAAAAGAGGGCTTCAAACTAGTGGCTTGAAGTTTCTGTAGCAGTGTTAATTTTTACAGGATGGGGTTGGTAGCCTCATGCCCAACCTTTCCTCTTTATCAGCATTATTTCTGGTTTAGTGAGGTAAAGGAGTTCGTCGGCCGGGGACCAAACCCCGGACCATGTGCATATTCGGCGGGTGTCCTAACCACTATACCACCGACGCACACTTCCATTATAGTTAGTAAAGGTAAAATTTTTATTAGAAAAGATCATTATTTGTCTGAGACAATGAAATTGGACAGTGAATCCTCATCATAAACAGGGCTGTAAACAACAGGGAAACAATCTTATCTTAGTAACCTTTAATATTACTATGGTGTATTTGTAGCCTCCAAGAGATACATTGATAATGACTTCACCTCTGTTATCCAAAAAATAAAAGCTTCACACAACATGTGTCAGTAAAGTAAATACTAAGATTTTGCCTATGTCACAAGAATGATATTAAGGTTGGTTTCGTCACTTAAGATTAGGAAGTAACCTAATCAGATATCAAAGCCGTAACTTTCAAGTTAAGAATAATGATAATAATAACAGCTCTATTCCAAACAGTGTTTGTGGTACAGGTACGGAATTTTCAGCGTGTATTACAATATTGCATTTAATTACCTCATAAATTTTATAAGATTTTAAAATCAAAAAGCAACGCAAAAAAAAGATAAATAAAAAATTTAAAAAAACAAAAACAACAGCGTTGCGTTTACATTTTAAACAACGCACCACAGGATTTGAAATATAAAGTTGATGTGTGATAGAAGATGAGAACAACAGTGTAATAATAACGAAGAAAGGAAAACAAAAACTAATGGGACTATTTGTTAGAGTGCCACAGTAAGTTGATCGTGTCATACCTAACGGATTTCTCATCACATAACAGCTGTGCCAGATATGGTATGGTGGAGTTTTGTACTTGATAGTCCTAGCATATAGCCTCTTTTTGCTGCTTCTGTTTCTACCAGATGAAATGCAAGGGGAGAGCTGCGTATAGAGGGATGCTGGGGGTCTGACAATATAGTATTCGCTAGTTTCTTACATGACATTATATGTCTATCCATAATAGTGTTAACCAGTTGGTTTAACGATATCCCACTTGCCCTACTAACGGCTTTTAGTGCCCTTCTCAGCAAAGCAAAGTCTTTCTTAAGTAGTCCAGGAAAGATTAATAGGAAGCAGTAAAGGGGGATGGGTAGAATACAAGAATTGACAAACTGAGAAAGCAAAGACTGTTTTATACCAAACTGTCTAAACTTCCTAACGCAGAACGTTAAGCGAAACATCTTTCTGGTAACTAGCAAGATGTAGGAGGACCAGGAAAGATCGGTGGAAATACTCAGTCCAAGGTACTTGACATCAGATGTAATTTCAACCTCTATGTCGTCAATGATAGTGGGGCCATGTGAGCTGGCTAGTTGTTGTAGGTCACGTTTTCGTATGGAAGTGAAATTGACCACCTGACATTTAGATGGATTCAGCTTAAGACCGTTTGAAGAGGACCACTGGCTAATTTCCGACAGAAAGTTATTTGATTTGGAACAGTCTGACAGAGTTGATAGGCACAGAAACAGAGAGATCATCAGCATACTTAACAAAAGTGGCTACATCAGAATGGGGCAAGTCATGTAAGAAAAAAGAAAACAGAAAAGGAGAATGAACAGCACCTCGAGGAACACCAGCTAAAGTAAGTGAGGTAGTGGAGAACTTTCCATTGTAGACGGTGTAGGAATGCAGCTACTTATCTGTCCAGCTGTCAGCCTGTGTTGCAGCAAGCTTCCTTAGCAAGAGAGACCTAGGTACAGAGTCAAATGCAGATATGTTTAGGAAATCAAGCTGTAATCAAAAATAAAATAAATAAAACAAATCCACTGGCTATTCAGCTACTGCGTTGGGATTTAATGACTAGTGAATTCCGATTTCTATCACACTTGACAGTATTAGACCAACTCCATTTGGTGTCACGCATAGGTGTCTTTTTTTCTACACCACCGTTAGTCTCTAACAGACACTAGATTAAGTGCTGAATTGTGGAAATCTGATTGATTTCCTGATAGATTTCATCACTAATTGATATCAGTTTTAGGGAGCTAATGCTACGGAGTACCAGGCTAGGAAAAAAGAAACATATATCCACTGCTAACTACTTTTTAATTTTTCTCAAACGGATTTCAGCTTGTGAAATAATCCATCTTGAAATCAGTTATATACTAGTTTTAAGTATTGGTTTTGTAGGAATTTTGTTAGATTGGTTGGAGGATTTCATCATAAACTAACATCAGTTAGAGAACCATTGGAAAACCACCACAGGAGTACTGGACAGCTGTTTCATCAGCCTAGTTTGGGAATCTTTAGCAGCATGCACCTACTAAGGATCGAACCCAGGACCAGTGGCTTAATGGTCTACGAGCTCGCCTTGTAACCTGAAGGTCCTGGGTTCGCCTCCCGGTAGGCATGTGCTGCTGAAGAGTGCCAGACTAGGGTGAAACAGCTGTCCAGTAATCCCAGGTTTTCCAATTGTTCTCTAACTGATGTCAGCTCGTGACGAAATTCTACCACTCGACACTTGACAAATATGCTTGTTACGCGTTTTTGTTGTGAAGCTCTAACAAGTGACAATATTCTGTCTATTATTCAAAAGGAGAGTAATTCGACTCGCTATCACGTTGACATGATCAATTTTCATTTAAACAGTACAAATCTTTTCAATTCCAACTTCAAGTACAACTTTGGAAAATGATTCTTAGATGTGTTAGTAAGCTCTATAAATTAAAAATCATTATGATCATCCCTGAAAGTTATTCATAAATACTGTAGTCGTGGAATATAAAAAAGCAAATTTTCGGATGCGTATTTATTATTTGGATGTTATTTTGACGGATGGGTGACTAGTGGTGGTATCCAGAACACGCATTTCGTCTTGTTACAGATTATTCAGTGTGGAAAAAAAATGACAACCTATGTCGCGTTAGAATCCACACCGGAGGTTTTCGGATTACTAGTCCAGCCAGAGCTTTACGAGCTTAACTAAGTGATCCTGCTGCTGGTGCTAGATCATCATTTGAATGAAATCTGATTTTTCTAACGAAAAGGGGAAAAATTATAGTATCCAAACAAAATATGCGGAAAAACAGATAAACTGTAAATTACTTACTAAACTTTCACTGAATGGATCCAGGTACTCATTGTTATACAAATCAACATCTTTTACTGAATATATTCCACGCAGTGAATCTTGTGACAAACTAATATAATCCTGTGTATTCATGGTTGTCATTTCATTTTAAACACACAGGTGTGTTGATTACTTAACACTGACTGAATTTTCAGTCGTTATCATAGTGAAATGTCACTGAAACTTCTTATTCACAATAAATAACGTAAATTATAGAAGTGAAATAGGTAGGGCAATGATAACAATATCAGACTGTTCCTATGCCAACACTATTTGTAGTGTAAGTTTAGGAAGAGAATGAAGGCAGGAGAGAAAAAAGAGAATTCCTGTCGACCAATCATTTTAAGACAGATAACGGTTATGCATTTTATTGGTTAACTGAAGAAAATGAATGACAACAAATCAGGAGGAAGTATACTGTGTGTGTAATTCAATTTATCTCAACAATCTACCGAAAATTTGTTTTGTACTAGAGAAGAATTACAAGTTAGGATTAAAAGGGAACTAAAAACATAATTTTTTATCAGTGATCATTCGAGATGAAATATGTGCTGAAAAGACAAGTGAATCCTAATAAATGCAACAAGAGAAGTTCGTAGCATGATTTAAAAGGTACCGTTTACATACACCATAGGAAATATTTGGTGCTCTTTTGCATCTCTAAGGGTAGGACGAAGTCTCATTGTGATAGAACCATTTAGCTCAGTGACTACTTAGCCGTTTCAACGTTTATCTCTATTCATAAGTATTCCATAGGTTAGTGAACACTATCTAAAACATTCAGGTTCTTGGCCATTACTGTTTGCAGTTGTCTGTAAAATCTCCCTTCTTCTATTGTTCTAAGTTATTTGTAAGCGCATAGCAATGGATAATTATAAGCTCCCTTCGTTTTGAGTTGAATCTTGTTGTAATAATCCTTGATGAAACTGGTTCCCACTGCATTAGTGACATCACGATACCCACTCCCTCAGTGTGCTCGTGTTTGTTGTCTGTTTGACAGGAGTAGATTATTGACTCTATATATATTCAACAATTAGGATAGTCCGCACTCATTCCACCTGCTCTTGCATCTTTCTAGCACATGTATGAAATACTTCCTCATATCTCCGGCAACCCAGGCAGCCTTCCCAACCTCGTAAATTATACGAACATCCCAACTCCCCATCCTTACTTTCATTTTCATCGAAAAAGACACATCGGCTGACTAGGTTTCCGAAGGCTTTCATCGGACGGTGTCATTTCGTCTCGCCAATTCCAACGAAGAATAAGCTTATTTTTTATATTTTGTCTGTGCCTGGGAGTTTCAGTAGTAACTGGATTGGTTTTCCGGGGTAGGATCACTAGCCCCACACCTAATCTTCTTGTTTTTCTGGACTATGGAACAGCTAGTAAACTAGCAAACCAAGGGATGGAGGTGAATCAACCACACAGTCAAGAGACCATTGTATGATACCAGGCCCTCGAGTGGAACTTAAATGGGAAACGAAAAGTTCAGCGTCCAAGGGTGGGAAGATATTGTGAGAAGATGAGAGCTTCTGAAAAATCGTGAAGTCAGCTAAAGACGGCTACATATAGCAGGACGGAATAAAGATATGCTGTTAAAGCTCTGCATTCTGTTTGGAACCTAAGGGAATAATACTTAATAATAATAATAATCTGAGGTGTTCTGACTAACAGAATTTATAGAAGTAATTTATGACAGTGTACTTAAAAATCTACGTATAGTGAGGTTTATGACTCAAATGTTAAATATAAGTAACATTATATGCTTGGAACACACTCTTATCCTTCTTTAGTATCCACAATTTTGTCGGTGATCAAATTTAAATAACATATCTCATCTTAACTGCTTTTCCAAGGAACTAGAGTAGGTCTTTTCTGTATGGGTGTTTTGAGAAGTAGTAATTAATGAGCTCACTTTTGAAGTGGTTGTTCAGTGATATGTTTCTTCTTTTATCATTCCTTCAACATATTAACAAGTTGGGCGATTAGTTGGAATTCACTTAAATTAAACATGTTTCTAATGTACCACGTTGTCGTCCACACTTAATCTAGAAGAGCTAGTGGCATCATCCAAGGTGATGTAGGTACAGCGTGGTTCAGACTATGAAGTCTCTAACTGAACATTTGGACAGCGAGTCTATCTTAGTATGTTTTTTCTTGACTAATACAGATGATGCTCGTATCATTGATTGGTTTCCTTTCTGGAATGGACAAGTTTTATTTTCAACACAGATCTCTTCACGAGCCGAAATCAGTTACAGAAATGACTGATAGTCCAATAGCACTGAACAGTAGTTTTCTTCTAGTTTAGGACTCTTCATCCTGCTTCGTCTCGTAACCTAAATGTTCCGAGTTTGATAATTGGTGGAATGGTGAGTGCATACTGAGGAAAAATTCCAACGTAGGTCGAAATTGTTGTGTAATTCATACTGGATAGCCTCTAAGACCTCAAAATTAATATGCAATCGCTGTTATCACATAGTATATTTCAGGATACGACAGCTTAAAGTTAAACCCCTCATCGGTAATTATCAATCCGTTTAGTTGATAGTGGCCCGTAGTAAATTCGAGAATGTAAGTTAATTGTCAGTTTGAAGTATATTGTAGTGTTCCCACTGAGGCTCAGACCCAATACTTATGGTTCCATACGCCAAAGTGTTTGCCATTATATCACAAAAGATCACTACAAGCTACAGTGTACACAAAGAATTATATATCAGCTTGTTTGAATGAAAAATTATGGCAGTGTGTTAGTTGCACCTTTAATAATCCTTCGGAAAAATCTGACAATTAGGGGAGTAAATATACCCTCATAACGCTCTTTTTTCAGAAAAGAGAAGTTATCTTCTCGCATTCTATCTCATTAAGTATTTGTATAGACATGAACAAAATAAGTCACGTATGCCTTTTTAATTCTCAGTATTTGTATGCTATCTAACTCCTACCTGTGTTGTTGGATACACAGGAATTGTATCCTTAGAAATATAATTATAATGACTTATTCGTTAATGTGTAATATTTCTAAGTGGATGGTTACAAAACTATTCTCTCAAATGTGGTTCTCTTCTTCTCTGCATTCCTAGTGGAACAAGGGCTTCAGGCTTTTTAGCTTCAGTAGAGATTGTTTTGTTCTTATTGGGTGAGGTTTCTAGCCTCACACTCAACTTTCCCTTTTTTGGCTAATAAACTAGGCGAAGTTTCAGAGTACCTTAACTGACAATCGAATCCGGACCACTAACTTGTTTGGCGAGCGTTCTTGCTTCATATCAATGCCATCTATTAACTTCCTATCTTTATTTTTATTCCCTCAAGTTCCCAGTGGAGCATAGGGCTTCAAGCTAGTGGCTTGAAGTTTCTGTAGCAGTGTTTATTTTTACAGGATGGGGTTGCTAGCCTTATGCCCGACCTTCCCTCTTTGCCAGTTCCATTATTGGTTTAGCGAGGTAAAGGAGTGCTTCCGTGGCCGGGGATCGAACCCCGAACCACGTGCGTAGTCGGCGAACGTCCTAACCGCTGTGCCACCGACGCCATTTATTTTCTTATCATCTCAATTTGAGTTATACTAACAAAAGTTGATCATTACCACCCATGAGTCTTGAGGCAATTTGTTATGAATTTAAACAAAAAATGCGAAATGTTTAGCTAGTGTTGAAATGAGATTAGATCCGAAAGAAATCAAAGATATGTATGGCAAGACTTCTTGTACGGACCATTCAGTGACTGCTTCAGATTAATATGGTATAGTTTGATTGGTGTTAGCGAGCATTAGAATCCAGGTCACGCGTTTCATCATAGTTAGCGCTCATTGACTGTATTCACCTGCATACCCGGTGTTTAATGCCTTAACAAATAGCAGCTGACACACACTGTCAAAGAGGTTGTCCTCTTGACACAGTCGTCTAGTAGATAATTCTGTGGCGCTTGAAAAATTGCGTACATGGTTCTAGTCTCAGCAGAAAACCATTACTCATGTGGGATTCAAGTGTATCCAGCCGACGGATTTCAGATAGGCTGAAACGGACATCATGGATTCAACTGCTGGTCACTACTAACCAAAAGAATATTCTTTTTCTAAGAAAACAGTTTACAAATATTTTAATATAGTGAATAAAATTAAGCACCTTTAAAATAGCCTATCTGAAATAAAGCTTAGTCTAGTTTTCAATTCAGAAAAGAAATGAAACTAATCACTTAAAACTACCGCCAATTTAATTTATGTCCCTTATGGGTGATTTAAAACAAAAGAAACATTAATTCCTTAATTTTTAAGTCAATTCATACATATTATTCAACATCAAAATAGAGACGAAGGATGAGTGAAAGAGGGATTTGATATTTTTTTTTCCAATAACAATTAAAATCCTCATTTAACCGGTAACAATTAAGAGAACTGAATAGCATTTACTAATTAAAAACAAAGAAAATGGCACTGACAGAACATTTTATGTAGGATTAAAGCAAAATTGTCACTTTTCTTTAAAAATTGGTATTGTTTTGTGTATTAGGTGAGTCAAGAAGAAAATTAGATTTACGAAACAACCGGGGAAAAAGTAACACAATCAGATAAACATCTAAATTTCTTAAAATTAGGCTATTTTCACTGTGATATAAACGCCTTTTTTAAAATTTTATTATTGTATCTCCTAAGCTTGTTGTTTAAATTAAGTAACGAAATCAAGAAAAAAAACGGCTGTTACAAATTCACAGTGACGAGTTATACTCCATATTAATTTATCTGATTACCTTAGTATAAAAATACCTCAGTCCCTAACTGAAATCTGATGTGATTACAACAGACAGATAAGAAGGTAATGATGTATGAATGTATTGCTTTCCGTGAACTTTAATTTCTACCGTCTTATTTCCAGAGATGTGTCTCTTCTAAAGTCAAAATGAATGATCTGAAAATCCCCTCGAACAATTTTACAATTCAAGTGTTGGTTTGTAGGGATCCCTAAGAACCAGCTCTTTCAATGAGATGCTCACTAGCGACTGGCCCTATTCAGGTAGGTAGTTACCTGGGGTTCTAGTGGGAAGTCGTGACCAGTAGGGTGCACCAAAGTGGGTGTGAGGACAAATACTCGCTGAAGACATTGGCTAGCGGTTGCGCTATGTCGTGAATTGGTAGAAGTTAGAATTCAAGAACCATTGTTTCGGGCCCCAGTGGCTCAATGGTCTACGAGCTCACCTTGTAACCTGGGTTCGAACCCCGGGGTGTGGGTGCGTACTGATGAAGAGTCCCAAACTAGGGTGAAACAGC